GATGATAAGTGTGAGATTATTAACTTTGGCTGTTCAACTTAAAAAGCAAAATATTTTCTAAAAAGTTTGAAACTTGTACTAGTTGATGTTCAGAGGGATTTAGACGTATTTGTACAGGGCATACAAAGTTACCATACAGGTTCCGAATGTTATTAGAAAAGCAAATGACAGGTTGGCCTTTATTGTAAAAAGATTGGTATACAAGAATAAGGATTCTTGGGAAATTTTTACATAGTTTTGATGAAACCACGCCTGGAATACTGAGCACTATATACGTCTCCATATTTAAGAAAAGGTATACTTATACTGGAGGCAGTCAGTATAGATTCATTAGATTACATTGTGAAATGACAGTTGTCCTATGATGACAGGCTGGATAATTCTTTAGAGGTTAGAACAGAGAAATGCAATTTCACGGAGCTACACAAGATTCTGAAGGAACTGGCAGAGTACATACTGAGATGCTGCTTTCCCTGGCTGGGGAATCTAGAACATGGGAGCACGGTCTCAGGATAAGGGAATTAGCTCATTAGAGACTGCAATGAGAGAAATTTCTTCACTCAAATGGTTGTTAGTCATTAAAATTCTCCGCCACAGAGGGTTTTGTACATATCATTGTTGAATCACCAGCTGTCATTTGACATGAATGATGTCTGGCTTGGGAGCTTCTGAGATAGAGTTATAGAGTCATACAGCATGGAAACAGACCCTTCACTCCAACTAGTCCACGCCGATCATGTTCCCAAACTAAACTAGTCCCACTAGTTTGCGTTTGGCCCATATCCCTCCAAACCTTTCCTATTCACGTACTTATTCAAATGTCTTTTAAATGTTGTAACTGTACCTGCATCCACCACTTCCTCTGGCAGTTCATCCTACATACGAACTATTCTGTGTTACAAAAACTTGCCCCTCATATCCTTGTTATATCTTTCGCCTCTTACCTTAAAAATAGGCCCCCTATTTTTGAACTTCCCCACCCTAGGGAAAAGACCCTTGCTATATTCACCCTATCTATGCTCCTCATGATTTTTTAAACCTCTATAAGAGCTGTATCTTAGGTGTCATCAACAGTGCTGAACACCGTGCAATCAGCAGCAAAAATTTCTACTCTGACCTTATGATGGAGGAAAGGATATTGATTAAACAGCTGAAGATTCTTGACCCTAGGTCATGACCTTGAGGAACTGCAGAGATGTCTTGGGACTGACCCATGACTTCCATTGTCCTCTGACAGCCCGCCTCTTTTCTGCTATGTATGACTCTAACCAGTGGAGATTTCTCACTTGCTTCTGATTGGAACAAGTTTTGCTTGGGTTCCTTGATCAAATGCTGCCTGATGCCAAAAGCTGTCACTTTCACCTTACCTCTGTTGTTCAAAATGTTGTGGGTAGCCATCTTTATAAACTATTGCAGTTCATGTCACGTAGGTACACAGAGCCAAATAAGGAAAAACTGTTACAGATGACCAAAAGCTTGCCAAAAAGAGCCAACTGACTGAATTTTGGGGTAAATTTTACAGACTTTTGGCAATGGCCCAGAAGGCAGGAAGACAGGGAAAAAAAAAGCACGAGAGTGAGCAGGTGGGACGAATAATATGTACAGTGCTTTCTCACTGCTATGTCACTTTTCCAGTGGTAGGAAAGCTGGCAGATTGGCCTCATTAAAAGCTTAATTGTAGCACTTAAGTGGATAATTATGCTACCTCTATAAGCATTTTCTCGACATTGGAATGGGCTGCCATTGATTAGCATGACAACTAGTTATATTGAGTAATATACCACAGGACTCTAGGCGGGGTTCTCTATTTTGGGGCATTCTGTAGCCTATTGACTTATCCACAGTGATTATACCAACACCAGCCCTCTGTGACCACCCATGCCTAAATGTCGAGGTCTACTTGCTCTGGCAACAGTGCCTCCCCACCCTCTAAAACAGTCATACACGCCTCTTTTGAGGGGGCCCCAAACATTGACTTCCTTGCATTTCTAGCCTTAGTTATGACCACTGTTCATGAAGGCAATGTAGAATTGCCAGCCTTCTGATTGGCATGACAGAACTTGGAAACAGGTTGCCATTCTAAATTGGCATGCCACTCCTGGGTCTAGCCACATGCTGAAGTGAATTCACATCACACTTTCAACTTAATTGGCAGGACGTCTGCCTCCTACATAAAATTCAACATATTAATTCCATATCTTCTTCATGGGAGCTACCAGACCTGCTAAGTGTCATCAGCATACATGAGGAAACTGAAGCAATGTTTTTAGATGTTGCTGCCAAAGTGGAGTCTGCAGATGAAAAGTATATATAAAAGTATAAAGCGTATATCTAAGTATTTTGGCAATGGAATTGTGATTTAAGAATGCTCTCAATCCATTCAATAATGATTCGGTTCACTCTTGAACCTTCCATGAACCTGCTACCAATCTTGGTCCTGGATGTTACATTAATGTTATCAGTCAAGATTTAAATGGGTAATAGTCTCAAGTACCTTCCTGACTTTATTCTGGCTGACTAATATAGATATCAGTGTGCACTGAAGGAATCACAACAGCTTTCCAAGACGGTAAGGTCACTAATGCCACAAGGAAGGTGTCAAGAACATGTTAAACTTGCTAAATTGATAAGATTCCATTGCTTACTGTCTCAACTCTGGTGTGTCCATGGGTATGATGTGAAGTTACAGCATTCTTGCACTCTGGTCAGAGAGCTTTATACATTATGTCACAGATCTGTAGATTTTCGGCAATGTCTACTTAACATCGCAAGAAGGGTGTACTCTCACAATACTGGGTTCTTATTATGTTTTGCCCCATCATCCCTCCACAGTTTGCACCCCCCCCCCCCCCACCCTCCCCAAAAACACACACACACACACACACACACACACACACACACACACAACTTCTCTGTTCTCATCATCTGCTTCCCTGAAGCACTGGATTAATATAAATCTGAGCACTAACAAGATTAATATGATTTGAAATACTTTGCTGATACAGCTCTCTCTAATTCCTGATAAAACAGTATTCTAAAACAAGTAAATATAATATATTCAGAACTCAATATTCTCCTACAAATCAATCATTCTGTCTTCACAGTCCTACAGGAAAAATGTATTTACTGATTTCTGACGTTCACCATTCTTTACGTTCCCCACAGAGGCTTCAAAATTACCCCTTCTATAAAGTTGGTGCCTATTGGTCTGAGAGTTTGGCATGAACAAAGGTAACTTGTGGAGACTAGGAAACAATATCTTTCTATATTATGTACAGATGGCCAAACAGAGTCAAACAGGCAGATCCAGACTGACAGCATCAGTGGAGAAACAGTAAAGCAGCAATTTATTAAGATGAGGGAAATCATCAGAAAGCCCAACACATTCACCCTTCCAGAAAACCTTTATATCACCAAAATCTGACTGGATTTTTCAGATGAAAAATTAAGCGTCTGCAACTCTCCTACTGCACTTTTGTGTCTCCTTGGTCTTTTCATGCCAATTTTCTTCTTTATATTATACTTCTCTGTATTCCTTGACTGCTGGTCTCTTCCTGAAATACATTTCTCTCTGTCTTTCTCCTTTTATATTTCTCACTTATATCCTTCACAATCTTTTCATTTCTTTCTTTGTCATTTTTCTGCTGTTGTGATTCCGTTGTCATTGTTGATAATGGAAATTTTTATAGGGAGGTGTGGAGAAGTCAGGAGTTCAAAAAATGTTTGGCTCAAGGAACTGGATTTTGATTGAGAATGATCAGTAAGAACAAAAAAGGTCAGTAAACTAGTAAGTTAAACTAGTTTTGTTGTTGAAACAAAACTGCAGAATCTGTATTGTTAAGAATGCAAATCCAAATTTGAGATGAGCAGATAGAGTATGCAAAACACTGACAAAAGATGGAAACAAAGAAAATGCAAGAAATCAGAAATTAAGATCTGAGAAGCTACAAGCAAAACAAACATAAACATCAAGAATAACCTCAAAGCTTCTCCATGTCCACTATTAGAGCTTTGTTGAAAATCTGGCAGAAAACAGCTCCAAGGAAATATTTTTTTAAAGGGAAGTGGGGAAGAAACTAAAGCAGATTCAAGATTTTTATAAAATGAAAATGAGTTAGATTCATATTTAGGAATTTTGGTTCCATATAAGCTAATTTATTGGGAAGTGAAGTTCAAAAGAAATAGTTTATGAATTTGTATCCCAGGAATGGAAACCCATTAATGGCTTCTACAGTCCTCCCGATTTCTCCATTACGTTTCACAGCGTGTTTTTTTTGTACACATATTTCATAAACTCCAGAAATATAACTGAGTCTTAATGGGGCACAAACTACACATAATACACTATAGTAATTCATACATTTGAAATACCTAATTTAAGTATATCACAAGAGAAGCAAAAAGAATACTTGAAATAAGCAATCCACTATTCTTATTATGAGAAGTTTTCATTATGAAATATATTATTGATGTCAGAGGGAGAGAAACCTGCTCCCAGGTTTCTGCCAACATTGCTCAAAAAATGCATACGAAGACAGAAAAAGACCTTCCTTTTGTTGATTGTTTCTTCAAAATCTTCACAGTTAGCTATGATAGATTATCTACTGCTGTTCCAAGAAAAGTACATTGAAGCAACGAAGTGCTGAGTTACTATTTTGACTGCTTAAAACACAAATCAATGTTTTGGAACTTCTCTATAGTCTATTAGAAAATATTTTCATCTAAAGCTACAATAATGAGGTTACAAGTTAGGGCATTAATCTGCTACGAACATCAACATACAATTAATTGGGATAGTAGAATTCATCTCACCAGTCTTCTCAATTTATGATTTTATATACACAAACACAATTAGAATGCCATAAACCACTAACCAAATTTCAGGTTTGAGATTGAGTTAATCATTAGCCTGGCAGCTTGCATTATCACTTGAACATCTTGATTGCAAATGTGAGACTCAACAAAATTTTGCAGAGACACTCACTGTCTAATTAACATACCTGAAAAGAAATGGGCCTTGAATCCTTTCTTTGAAACAGTGTTGTCAGATTTGAATTCAATCCTCATATTATTGTGTTGAGATGTTATAACTTCAGGCACTTCAGTACCACAAAACTTCCCATGAAGCTTGGAATCAGATGAAAGGCCACTGCGGATCTCAACATAATCATATTTGCATATCTGGTAAAAGCCAAACAGATAACTTCAATTACATGAGGCACGCATGTGAATATATCCAAAGTCTGCTTTGCATCATTGCTGCTTTAAATTTGTTCAATATTGCTTTGGCATGTTGATCGAAGTGTGGAAAACTAAAGAATACATTTTAGAGATCTTTTGATGTGATTTATATCATGCAATTGGTAACTCATGAGCAAGAAGGTCACAGCTACAAGTGGAACAGGAATCATTTATTACAGAAATTCTCAACATGTTGTACTTCACATTATAAAATTACATTTAATATTAATCTATCAAGGCACAAGGTCAATTTTATCAGATGAAACAGACAAAAAAATGACTTAAAAGGGATGATGCTAACTCCATACATCACTGAAATAGGCCATCTGGCTCCAGCAGTCCATGAATGTGTGGACAATGTGATCTGCCAGAGGCAGACAGTGTGTAGATTTGGTGATTTCACATCATTATCCTGATCGTAATACAGGTTCAAGTGTCTGCCTTGTTGGCTGTCTGACTCTTTTATATATGCCTCTGTGGTCAGCAGGAGCGGCTGGTAAGGGTTGGGCTAATATCATGTGGTAGAGCAATTTGCTATCCTTAAAAGGTCTGTCCATCCAAAAGGAATGTTGTATTGAATATTATTGCTGCAATTAATGACATGGAAAATTGAAAACTATGGCAAGGAGTGTGCTCCAGTCTGAAGGATGTGATTTGGTGGAGGTGGAAAGTCATGGTTCTCCTAGTTCATGACCCTATGGAAGGCAGGGAGCCTCTGCAGGACAACCTATAAAAGGGAGTGGCATGGAGGTTAATTCCTGTCACTTGGATGGAAAGATCTGTCAGCAATGCCACAATAAATTCTAAATGATCTCACATGGGATGGCACCTTTGTACAACGTTTTCTTCCCACCACACCACAAACCTCTCAAAACGTCCATTGCAACACACCCCCATCAATCATACAACTACAGCAGTTCAAGAAGGTAACTTATCACCACCTTCTCGAAGGCAATTAGGGATGGACAACAGATGTTGCCTTTCCCATGGCAGAATATTTTAAAAATATACTGCCATTCAGGACTCATGGCAAACATCCAGATGTTCCATCTAACCCTCACACATTAACCAGTCACACAAGCCTCAGACCAACTTCCTCAACCTTTACACACATCTTACTATTCAGCTATGGCTGCAACATCATCCAAACACAGCACCACATGCCTACTGAAATTTCTTGGAGGTCAGGGTAGCACACAATAAAAACAGAGAAGAGCTGGTAGAAATACAAAGATGCTTGTATCTCCTGAATCGTCTGGAGGAAACAGCTTTCCACACATGGATTGACACCACTGCAGAAAGCACTAGAAAGATTACATTTCCATTCTGTGCCTTTTTCTGATATTATTTCAGTGCAACAGAGGGCAGTTTACATGTTATTTAGTTTGTGGTGTGGAAACAGAATATTTGTACAATATATGCTTTATGCTAACTTCACAGCTACCATACTTTAATTCAAAATAACCAAAGAACTGGAGATGCTGGAAATAGAAACAAAATCAGAAATTGCAGCAAAAACTAATAGATCCGACAGCATCCATGGAGAGAAGGCAGAGCCAACATTTCAGGTCCAAGGTCCATTCATCAGCAAAGTTCATCAATTCTGAAGAACGGTCACTGGATCTGCAACATTGACTTTGCTTTCTCTCCACAGATGCTGCCAGACCTACTGAGATTTTTCAGGCTTTTATGATTTTGTACCATACTTAGATACTACTTCCTTGTATTTTTGGGCTGTGGGTATCTTACTAAATTATTTTCGAGATCTGATGCTTTGTAGCTCATCCTCATTTCTCTCACTCTCTTCAACATTTTGACACTCAATGTCCATTTGCACATTACAAGTTATTGAATACAGCTCTCTAGTGTAGTGTTTAAGACTCGTTTCGTTGTAACTTTTCTCTACTCTGATCTTTTCTTCTGATCACTCTGCTGGTGACAGAGTAATATCATCAGTTACATTATCTTTTGCACACAGGTTTCCCTCACTGTTGGTTTATTTAATTCCAGTAACTTTATTTATTATAGAATCACAGAATCTCTACACTTTGGAAGCAGGCCATTCAGCCCACCTGAGTCCAGACCGACCCTCCAAAGAGCAACCCACCCAGGCCCAACCTCTATCCTATCCCTGTTAGCCTGCATTTCCCAAGTCTAATCCACCTAGCCTACACATCCCTGGACACTATGGCCAATTTAGCATGAAAAATCCACCGAACCTACACATCTTTGGACTGTGGGAGGAAACCGATGAAGGAGCAGAATGTGCAAACTCCACACAGACAGTCACGCGAGGCTGGAATTGAACCCAGGTCCATGGTGCTGTAAGGCAGCAGTGCTATCCACTGAGCCACCATGCTGTCCAATGTCTTTGTTATTATCATTCCCCCACCCCACTGCTCTCACAGTCCAAAGCTCTCGGACTAGAATTGTAATTAGACACCCTTATCCAGGTCACTTGATGTCCATACGAGGGTGATAACTCTATAATTCCCGAAATATTTTGTACAGTTCTGTTCAGTTTTCAATGTAGAATGGGCATCTCTTTACCATTTCCTTTAATACTCATTTTGGCCTCACTTCTTGGCTCAAGTAAGATCAACAGTACTTCTGACTATATATGATCTCAGTTGATCTGTTCCTCTCCTGACTGTTGCCTCTGGTTTTCTGTCTTTTCTGACTTGGTTTCAGTGTGCTTTTGACTTATATCTAAAGTTACACTACTTCTGCTGCTTTTGGTGATGGAGTTTCTCCAATTCATAACCCCTCATGACCACAAGGTGGTTATGTTTGGCTTGAGATGGTACTTTAATAGTGGTAAGTATGCTTCCAATCTCCTTCCCATTAGTAATTTAGCCAATGAATACCATTTTCTCTGTACAGCTAAGTAATACTAAATTGCTGTTGCTGACAGAGTGACTCTACTCCCCTATATGCAGGTGTAACGTGATTCTGTAGTGCTACAACTGCCAATTCCAGAGCTTGCATTTTAGAATCATAGAATCCCTACAGTGAGTAGCAGGCCCTTCGGCCCAACAAGTCCACACTGAACCTCAGAGCATCCCACCCAGACCCAACCCCCTTTAACCCACCTAATCTACACATCCCTGAACACTACGAACAATTTAGCATTTATTTATCTGATGCACTATGAATGTTACCTGACTTTGTTAGCAATTTATTTGTTTGCCTACGTTGTGTTCAATATATTTTTCTTCACAAATATTTTATCATACAAATTAACATTTATTTTTTATGAAGCTCAGCCAAACAAAGTCGTTGAAATTTGCCACAAGTAATTATTCTTTGGGTTTAATTTTAATAAGTATTATAAATTATTCCCTCTATAAACAAAAAAAAGCAGAACTGTATTGTGCTTTCATGCATGCTGGTAAAACTCTTGAAAGATTTGGAAGTAGCTTTGTGATGCTAATGCTCACAAATGGGAGGAAAGATTATAACCACAAAACTTGACTCCTCAGTACCCAGTTTCCAAGAGTGCTTTTCTGCTACACTGGCACACACTCCGATGCCATTTTGGTGAAGGCTTTTACGTATATGCAGAGAGAATCCAACAAGAGTGTGAACATTGTATCGAACATAACGTAAATAGCAGGCAATGTTGGTTTGATGTTAGTGCTACCATGCCTCAACTAACACCCTCTTTTAACCTTGTACAGCTCAACACAAATTCAACAGCAGGAAGGATCTTTCAGCACGATTTAAAGAGATCCTCAAATAACTAGAGGTTAGTTGTTGACTGATTTCTATGAGCTGCTTGGTTTGTACTTCCCAGTTGTTTAGAGTTCTTGATTGTGTTCCACCGAGCTACTGCCACCAGCCTAAGGCAACTCATTGGAACCTGCTGAAGACTAAAAAACAGGCAGGTGAGGTTGCCACCCACAATCCTGAGGTCTTCACCAGAGCTGTCTAATACTGTAAGCAGCATGAATTACTTTAAGAAAATATTTTTGACCCTATCTCGGAAGGAAGTCCCACCTCAGACAGCCGTCTGCCAGCTTTGACGTTACAGCAGCACCAGCTCAAAGGGCTGACAAGTGCTAGGACTACAGGCAAGCCCCACCAGACCATGACGTCCAATTAAATCTAGGGAGTCAGGGATCTCAGCAAGGCAGGACTGATACAAATCTGAAACAGACAGTCATGGAATGACTTGCAGTACCAGCTCCAGCAACAATGCATCTCTTCTTTAAGAGGCGCATATTTAACTTTCCTAGTCTCTAATAATTTTGTGCCCGTTGGTCACATTTATATTCACATGTGTCTCGTGCTGGCAACACCATAAATATTTCAATAAGCAAGCAACATGAAGGTGAAAGCAACATAAACTTCACAATTACCATACCTGCTTTTGAGGCCTATCTAATTCCATAGTTTTCATTTTTAGTGCAATCAGCAATGTGCTGATGCTGTTGACAGTAATGTTTGAACTGACTAGCAATACTTGCTGCTTGACCAAAGTACGGCATCAAAGCAACACTTGCCATTTTGCAAAATTAAATATTTTAAGACAACAGATGCAATGATTAACAGGCACCATGTGTCTCAGTAAGAAAACTTGGTTAAAGAGAAAGGAAACAGACCTTTCTAATCTGAGATTTGAAATAAACACATACAGGAATGCAATCCATCCTTTCTTGTAGTCAGATATCAATCATTGCACCATCCCTGCTTGCTTTCAATTCTTCCATAATTCTAGATATAAAATAACAGGGAGATGAATGATAAAGCAGTAGATAAATAACACAGGCAAGTCCTTAACATCCTTGTGGGTATGATAAAATAAAAACAGGTGTAGAAAACAAGTTGGCATTAATAGATGTCAACTGGCTTGAAAAATGATGAATCATTTCCTTGGTACAACATACCATACAAATTTAAGTGCCTTACATATGTATATAATTGTTTCCTTTGTATGC